ACGACGACGCCCTCGGCGGGCGCGTCGGCGTCGGCGCGGAGGTCCAGGACCTCGCTCTGGAGCGCGAGCGTCTCCCGGAGGTCGCCGAGGCCCTCGCCCGTCCGCGCGCTCAGCGCGACGAGGGGCACGTCGCCGCCGTCGGCCTCCGTGGCGACGCCGCAGCGCTCCCGGAGCTCGCCGCGGACGCGCGCGACGGCCTCGGCCCGCGCGGCGTCGCCGCCGACCGCGTCGACCTTGGTCACGGCGACGACGATCTGCGCGCGCGCCGCGCGCGCGTGGTCCACGGCCTCGACGGTCTGGGGCATGACGCCGTCGTCCGCGGCGACGACGACGACGGCGATGTCGACGGCGCGCGTCGACGTCTCGCGCATCTTCGAGAAGGCCGCGTGGCCCGGCGTGTCGAGGAACGTCGCCGCCGCGACGTCGCCGCCGCCGCCGACGGCGTCGCGCGCGACGAACGCGCTGAGCCGCTGCGTGATGCCGCCGGCCTCGGCCTCGGCCGTGCGCGCGCCGCGGAGTGCGTCGAGGAGCGTCGTCTTGCCGTGGTCCACGTGGCCGAGCACGGCGACGATCGGCGGCCGCAGCGGGAGCGCGGCCCAGTCGGCCGTGTCGGGCGCGGGCCGCGCGGCGCGCGACGCGTCGCGCGCCGCGTCCGCGGCGGCGCGCAGGGCCTCGACGGCCGCGTCCGCCGCCGCGTCCTCCGCCGCCGCGCCGTCGGATTCGTCCTCGGCCACGCGCGAAAACTCCTCGATCTCGACGGTCGCGCCGAGCTCGAGCGCCACGAGCTCCGCGACGTCGCGGTCCAACGCGAACTTCTTCAGGAACTCCGAGTTCTTCGACATGCGCGGCGCCTCGCCGAGCGCGACGAGCGCCGCGCGCACGGCGTCGGGCGTCGCGCCGAGCGCGCCCGCGAACTTGCCCGCCGTGATCGTCCCGGCCTCGGTCAGCCGCACCGTCGCGCGCTTCCGCGCGCCCCCGCGCCGCGCGGCCGGCTGCGGCTCCCGCCGCGCCTTGGCCGCGAAGCGCGCCTCGCGCTTCGACGCGCGCGGCCGCGCCTCGTCCGCGTCCGGGGCCGCCGGCGCGGCCGCCGGCGCCGCGCGGCCCGCGCCGCGGCCGCCGGCGCCGCGGCCGCGGCCCGCGCCCTTGCCCGCGGGGACACCGCCGCCGCGCCCGCCCTTGCCCGCGGGGACGCCGCCGCCGCGGCCCCGGCCGCCGCCGCCCCGGCCGTCGCCCTGCCGCGGCCGCGGCGCCTGCGGCGGCGGCCCGCCGGCAGGATTGGCGGAGGTCGGCACATGCGGCCGGCGCCGCGGCCGCCGCGCTTCGCCGCTAACAGTGGGATTCTTTTTGAGGCCGCGGCCTGTTGCGGCAGCCGTCGACAGCACTCGCTTGGCTGCCAGCAGCATGTCGCCACGCCGATTGTGAGAGCGGTGCAAGGTGGGTTCAAGGAGATCTTCAACGAGTGCCCGACGCGTCCCGAGTCCGTGGGGCACAGTCTCTACACATGGCGCGCACGGGGGGCACGCGGACTTGGCCCTGGGCGACGAGAGGGAAGGGGGGCGGACGGGGTGCTTGGTACCTCGACCGCCGCGGCGTGCGAGGCGCAGGCTCAGGTGCCCGCGGCCCGGGGCCCGGCTACGCGGGGCGGAAGAGCGGCCTCGTCTGCAGGAGCAGGTTCAGGAAGTTGCGGTGCGCGTTGGCCTCGGCGTCGGGCCACACGAGCCGGAAGAGCTTCAGGCCAGAGCCGATGACGAGCGCGGGCGCGTTGGCTCGCCCCGCGTAGGACAGCCTGAGGCCGAAGCCGCGGACGCGCTCCATCCAGGCGGCGACGTCCGCGCCGAGGTCGTGCTTCTGCATGGCGCAGATCATCGCGACGATCGAGAGCA